CCCGCAGGTTCTCGGGGCAGCCTGGTCCAGGGCCTCACCACCCCCATCATAAAAAGTGTCCAATCCAAATCTACCTGCTTTTGGTTTAAAACCATTGTCCCTCGTCCTGTCACTGCAGGCCCTGGGAAAAAGTCTGTCCCCATCTGTCTCACAAGCCCCCTTTAAGCACGGCAAGGCCGCACTAAGGTCTCCCCGCAGCCTCCTCCTCTCCAGGCTGAACCCCCCCAGCTCTCAGCCTGTCCTCACAGCAGAGCTGTGCCACCCTCGGAGCATCTTCATGGCCTCCTCCGGCCCCGCTCCAACAGCTCCATGTCCTTCCCGTGCTGAGGACCCCCGAGCTGGACGCAGGGCTCCAGGGGGGTCTCCCCAGAGCGGAGCAGAGGGGCAGAATCCCCTCCCTCGCCCCGCTGCCCACGCTGCGGGGGACGCAGCCCAGGGTGCGGTTGGCTTTCTGGGCTGCGAGCGCACGTTGCCAACAGCGCCGGTCCCAATACCGACCCCTGAGGAACGCCACTCATCTCTTTCTTAATACATTATTTTTCGATACATTTTTTCCAGCGCGGATGTAAATCCCCCCTCTTGCACCACCCCAACCTTGGGGCTTTGCTGGCTGCCACCGCTGCAGCTTTCCTCTTGGACTGCGCACTAACAAAGCCTTTGCAACCTTTTTCCTCCGCGATCACTATTTTTGGCACTCAGCACCGGTTGTTTATTAGGTAGTGAAAGCGCTGGCTGATCCCAAAAAGTCCTAAACCATTTTTTTTTAAAAAATAAACCTCTTTGTGCGTGAAGATGCAGACAACTTTCAAGGAGGGTTTTTGCAAGGGGTACCTGGTTAGCGTGGGATTAGCTGGCAGCTGGGCTTGGTTTCCCAGCTGTTAAATCTTGAGGACAGATGGCCCCGGCAGTGCGTGAGCAGGTAACGAAGCGGAGTTTCACTTTATTAAGCAGTCGCAGACTGGGCTGAAACCCTCCAGCGTTCTAATAAAGCATTAAAAATTCATGGTATGGCAAAAACCCAAGAGTGATATTTGTTTTGCTAAAGCAAATCTTACACATTCAGTAAAATTAAGATCATCAGCAAAAAAATAAGACAGCAAACGTGTATTTTTTTCACAAGTAGCTTCTTGATGGCAGAACTTGCTTTAGTGGCTGCCAGTTCCCCCCTTCCCATTTTGGCAGCTCCCATCTCCTGCAGCCATCATGCTTCTTGCCCCAGTTCCCATCCCGACGCTGCTCCTTGTCCCGCGTAGCTGTGCTCAACGCAGAACTGGGCCAGCTGGAAATGGCCATCGTTTTGCTGGACTTTCCTTCCAGCGGACCGTATCTTCCATCGGACCTCTTACCAGGCTACGCCGAAGGATGGAGATGTAGGAGCGAGGGGCTGGGAAGCAGGTTTTTTTAGCCGATACAAGTTGCTTGTGCTAATATTCACTACAAATAAAAAAATCAGAGGGAGGGAACTGGTGACCAAACCAGCCCAGAGCTGGAGCTGGAGGGCAGAGCTGCAGAGAAATTATAAATCCCTAAGATACCTCCTGATGTCTCGTTCTCTCCTTTGTGCTCCTTGGTAAACAGGCTTGTGCCAAGGACGCACCTTGCACTGTGCAAATTTCGGCAAATTGGGGATGATGTGATGTATCTTTTTGGCTCCTTGTCATTGCAGCCTCAGCAAAATGACTTCCCGAGCTCACGGTGCTGCTTTCGCGCGGCTGACCCACGACACCACGTACCCTCCTGATGTGGTCGAGCCCTGACAGCTACAGCCGCCTACAGAAAAAGAACAAAAAACTCATTACTTTTTGTCTCGCCGCCTGCTCTTCGGGGAAGTCTTGCTGCTGTGTTTGCTGTTCTGGCTCAGACACATCATTTAGCGAGGCCAGACACTGTGTTTTGCTGGCGTGGGTGTCTGCCTCGACCTTGGGCGGGTGGACTTGTTATCTGTCACTTCTTCCTCTGCTTCATCAGTGCCAATAACATCCCTTCTTTTGCTGCTGCACCCACCTATTTTCCTCGCTTTGCAGCAAAATCCCATCCCTATCACTGATGGGGAACTTATATCTTGGTGTAAATTTAATGATTTTGTACGGCCGGGTTCAGCTGCTGCAGGGGGAGATCTGAGGGGGGCAGAGGGAGCAGAAGGACATTCCCCATCCTGGGAGAGCAAACCCTACTCAACGGGTGGTATAAAAGACTCACAACTGGCCCGTGCTGACCGAGGAGAGGGGCTGGGACACAAACTACGAGAGTAAATATTTATTCATGCTGGGACATGAGGTGTCCCAGCCAAACTGGGGCACCCCAAATGTGGTTTTGCATGGGGTTCTTACACCCTTCAAGCATTCAGGTACAACACGATTTGACTAATCGCTAACCGCTCCCCCCAACCAATTATTAATCATAGTAAAACTCTGCAAAGCAACTCTGGTTTTGCAGTATTCTTGCTGCTTCTCTGCTGATCCAGATGTCCAGGAGCCAGTCCTGCTGGCGTTACGGATCTACGACACCGGACGATGCTGGGAGGGTTTCAGAGGTGTGTCAGAGGGGCTGGGGTGCCAGCGTTA